TCTTATCACAGACCCGCGGGATTCCTCCAGCCTCCCCAGGGTCAGCCAGTCCTCCGTTCCGCTGCAACAGCCAGCTGCTGATGCCCATCCGGGACGCACATGCTTATCGTGTGTCGGGGGGATTAATATTAGGGGTTAACATTAGGACAATTAAATGATTTACTCACCAAGAAGCCACCCATCCCGCACCGTGCCAGCTTGTAGCCTGTTCCCAACCATGGTCTTTGTCAGAATGAATGGATCGTGTTTCGATCCAGGCCACCTTGCAACAATGTTACTTAAATGTATTTGCACATCACAGATGATCTGTGCATCGATAAAATGAAAATGCTTCCTGTTTACATAAACAAATTCATCTTGTGATGGTGCCTCTATAGCAATGTGTGTGCAGTCAATAGCTCTGGTTACATTAGGAAAACCGGCCTTCGCTGCAAATTGCACTTTTATGTCGTCCTGTTCAACTGCAGTGTATGGGAATTTGATATATCTGGCTGACTTTCAGATGGTTCCATCCCACACAGCTGGCATGGCTCGGCTCAGTGTCGACTGGCACAGTCCCAATCGGTCGGCCAGCTCCCTCTGAAATGACCCTGTGGCTAGGAAGCCCAGTGTGGTCAGCACCTGTATGGGCACAGGTAGAACATGGCTCCTGGGCCTGTTGAGCTCCAATAATGGCTGCAGCTCCGTCCACACTTTGAAGCAAATTGCCCTCTGGAACGTAAGGCTGCTGATGAGCCAGTTGTCACCCTGAGGTCTCTGAGAGCCCGTTCTCTTCGCACTGCTCCATTGGCAATATCCTCCAACAGTGCCAAAGCTGCCATTGTTGTTAACAATATCTTCTGCATCGTTTTACGCACACTTTAATATCCACTCATCTGATTGCAAACACCTGGGTGTGTTAATTGTTCACCTGTGTATCTCTGATGAATGGCCTTTTTTTTACATTGTGTTTTACATTTTTACATTCCCAGCATCACTTCTAAGTCTAATGTTCAGGTTCTCTATTCAGACATGTAGACTGTGGTTCTTATTACCTGACAGTTTCGGCGACAACGCTCGCCTTCTTCAGAGATGACAACTGACAGCGGGTGACGTGTCAGCCGGCAGATTTTGACAGCCGGCACCTGCAGCACGCCCAGCAGAGCCGCCAGATCCGCCGGGCAAGCGCGCTGAGAGGACCATGAACAGGGACGAAGGGGGTTTCATGCTCTCGCACGCTTGGGACTCCCTGCTCCAGAAAAAGTAACCGGCGGGGGAGTGCGGTGCACCTGGCGGGGCGGTCAGGTCTGTTGGGCTCGCCACGACACACCATTTCGGTGTGGGCATGGCTTGCCCAGCGGATCTGGCGGCTCTGCTGGGCGTGCCGCAGGTGCCGGCTGTCAAAATCTGCCGGCTGACACGTCACCCGCTGTCAGTTGTCATCTCTGAAGAAGGCGAGCGTTGTTGCCGAAACTGTCAGGTAATAAGAACCACAGTCTACATGTCTGAATAGAGAACCTGAACATTAGATTATCACTAAGAAGACATGATGGACGTTTTCGAGCTATCACTTCTAAGTGTCGCCAATGGCTCAAAAGCAACAGAAACGTGCGTACGCCATTCAAGAAGCTGGTGTAGAGGACCACACATTTCCACGTTCATTTCCCTCTTGATACATCTGAAAGTGAGCGTGGATAAGTGCGTACACGAAGATTTTGTGTGTACCCACCCTTCGTACATGAGGCCCCTGGGGCCTCATTTATCATCAGTGCGTAGCAAAGGTTCTAAATTCTGTCATACGCATGAAATTTAGAGTGTGCGTAAGTACAAAAAAAATCTGTATTTATCAAACGTGCGTACGGGGGTCGTATGCACATCAGTGTTGATAAATCCCACTTGTTCTTAACCTCCGTGCTCGTGCACGTTGCCTTCAGAAACGCTTCCAAATCACCATATACGGCAACAACACATCTCTTAATAAGCAAGTGAAGATTTATTTTTTTCTCACCTGTCGTCATCATCGTGGCAAAAAGGGCGAAAAAGAAGAACTTTTCTGAAACTGAAATCAAGGTAATCGTCAGCAAGGTTGAAGCAAAACCAGAAAATATTGCTTGGTGCGTGAAATGTTGGGATAAGCAGCAATAAAAAAAATGCTGCATCGGACAAGATAACCACTGCAGTTTTTTCTGTTGGGTCTTCTGGGTCAGAGGATAGATCGCTGGCAAAAGCTCAGTGCCAAAAAACACATCACAGCCCATGAACGAGAAATGGCTGCAACTGGAGGAGGATGAATTAATACTGAACTTTCACCCAGTGGATAACCCTGATCACTACGGATCACTGAGCCAATCGTCTGAGTAGAAGTTGTATCAACTACAGAAACATACAAAGCTGAAGCAAATCCATTGACTCTTTTTATTATTAGTATGTTGGGTTTTTTTTTAAAGATTTATTTTTGGGCTTTTTCCGCCTTTAATGATAGTTGAAAGAGAAAGATAGACAGAGAAACGTGGAGAGGAGAGTGGGGGAATGACATGCTGCAAATGAGCCGCTGGCTGGAATCGAACCGCAGCCGCTGACTAGAGCCCCTGTACATGGGTCGCCCGCCTTACACGCTAAGCTATCCAGGCGCCCCATTATTAGTATGGTTTTAATAACCATACTAGGTCCAGCTAAAACATCTTACACTCTGTGACACTCACCAATAAGCCAGGTGTCTTCAGCAGCTCCTGCTTGGAGACCCACAGAACTGTTCTGCTCAATGAATGAGTCGTGCGTTCCTCCAAGCCACCGGGCAACAACGTTGGATAGCCACAAATGCGCATCGCAAATTATCTGTACGTTGACTGAATGAAACCCTATTTACAAAATTAAGCTTGTTTTGTGATGCTGCTTTGAATGCAATGTGAGTGCAGTCTGTGGCTCCCACTTATGTTTGGGAATCCGGCGATGGCATTAAGTCCCCGTTTGATTTGGGCTCATCGGTGACGGCTGTAAGGGAACTGGATGTAGGCTGGGGGCAGGGGAGTTATGGCATCCAACACTGCCGGCATGATCCTGCTCAGTGGTGGCTGGAAATGCCGCATATGTCTCCAACCTCACGCTGGAATGTGCTGGTGGTCAAAATCCCTGAATGCTTTCTATTTGTAGTTTCACTTTTCACTTTTTAGATTATGTGCGTACGCATGGTCAGAGTTGTGCTTATATTTATGCACATTCCTAAGTATAAGTACAAGTTGATAAATTCCATACTTTGCGTAGGAATGTTCGTACGCACGCTCTATGCACATATCTGTGGGTATGCACTGATGATAAATGAGGCCCCTGGTCTGTGGTCACCACCTGCAGAACCACTCCCTTATAAGAGGTTGTCCTGCTAACTGCCTCTCATTTCCACCTGTTATCTGTTTCATTTGCACAACAGCAGGTGAAATTTATTCACAATCAGTGTTGCTTCCTGACTGGACAGGTTGATTTCACAAAAGTGTGACTGACTTGGAGTTACATTGTGTTGTTTAGGTGTTCCTAGGTGTTATTTTTTTGAGCAGTGTATAATACTCAGTTATTTCTCATTCACAACGTCAGAGTATTCAAGAGTCATTGTCTCTGTCTTCTTCGGACTCAACAACATCATGACTGCAGTTGCTGCATGTAGTGCCTTGACAGAGTCCACAGGCCCAGATGCACGTGACCCCATTTGTCTTGCAGCTGGAGATGTCTATGTACTCATCCATGTCCCCTGCACATGTTTTCGGCACATGTTTTGTGCAGGGAACATGGACGAATACATAGACATCTTCATTGACACAGAAGCCACAAAGGAGGCAGTGATTCAGGCTTCAATTTTCCAGTACATTTATCATGGAGCAGATACTATATTGGGTGAAATTTGGTACAACATGTTCTCAAGGAGGCTCGGTGGTTAGCAGGTGGTTAGCTAGAAGGCCACCGGTTCACGTCCCAGTGAGGACAACCAGGACCTTTCTGCATGGAGTCTCCATGTTCTCCCTGTGAAGCGTGGGTTCTCTCCGGGTTCTCCGGACATGTTGAGGTTAATTGGTGATTCTAAATTGTCCGTAGGTGTGAATGTGAGTGTGCTTGGTTGTCTGTCTCTAAGTGTAGCCCTGTGATAGACTGGTTACCTGTCCAGGTGAATCTGCCTTCACCCTGAGTCAGCTGGGATAGGCCCCAGCTCCCCGCGACCCTAGTGAGATAATGGAAGGATGTTCTCACCCAGAGACTCTACCTCTAACAGAGGGTGCTGCTGCACAGCATTCACTCTGCAGACCCGGGACTGGATCCTTCTCCAGTCCAGTGACTATGGATGAACATTAGGTGTGCATGGGTATGAGCCAGGTCCAACACTAGACCCTATGACTCCTGAGGAGCTCCTGAAGTTCACAAGCTGTAATTGTCATAGAGATTGCAGCAACCGGCGGTGCAGCTGCAAGACAAATGGTGTCACGTGTATCTCGGCCTGTGGACTCTGTCAAGGCACTACATGTAGAAACTGCAGTCATGATGTTGTTGGGTCTGAAGAAGACAGACAATGACTCTTGAATCTTCTGACATTGTGAATGAGAAATAACTCTGAGTGTTACATAAGTAAGTGAAATAAAAGCTACTGTGAATATAAATGTAAACGTGAGTGTGGCCTTTTTCAACAATGGAGTGTTTGTGGTGAAATATGAATGTTTACAATCAACTCAGAATCATGAAAAACCCTGATTTGACCCCTCATAAGGTACTTAAGGCCCGATTTTTTTAAATTATTTTTTTAATTCGATTTTTCGTCAATCGTTTATCGGTACCCTAACTTGAGCAGGTTTGTTTCAGGGTTTCCCATGAGAGTTGAACTTCAACATTTTAAGGCATGTTATTACACACCTACAAACAGAAATTGTTGGGTAACAATTTAGTTGGCAGATTTTTGAAAAATCTCATAAAATGCCCTTACTATTTGTGTGTGCTGTGTAAATCAATATCTGGATCTGTTTTCTGGCATTTGACATGACCCACAGATTATACTGCCAAGGCCTGCTAGAGAGCAGGTGAAGACTACTGTTATGTTCCTGGGGAACTACAGCACAACAGTCATAGACGTCCCTTCAGGGAACACGACTCTGGTGTTGAAGGTGCGGTGGCGTGTTTTTCTATTACCTGCTTAGAGCGAATGTGATAAATATTTTTACAATACTAGAAGCCTATAGCTCAACAGCACATCTGTGAGGCTGTACTTGAGTGAAAAGGTCACTTCAGCATGTAAACAAGCTCATGATAATATTATTGAGAAAAAAAAGGCAAAGTCAGGGGATCAGCTATGACAGTTTATCCCCTTGGAACTCTACATCTACATATCCATTTCAGTTTCACTAATTTGGGGAAAATGAAGGATACTCTTAGTACAACTACAAATACTGCTAATGTCACAAACTATTTAATACTATTTATTTATGGGGCGCCGCTATAGCTCACCTGGTTGAGCTGGCGTCCCATGTATAGGGCTACAGTCCCGATGTGAAGGTCATGAGTTCGAATCCCACACATCCTCCCCCATTCTTCTCACCCACTTTCCTGTCTCTCTCTCACTGCACTATCCAACAAATGCCAAAAAAATGCTATTTATTTATTATATCACATATTAACTACATTATTTCAAAGATCTCAATATCAAAGATAAATGAATGCAGAATATAGTTTATACTTGGATGTTTCTGCTTATGCATTGCTGAAACTTTTGCTGTAACTACCTTTTTAAAGATGGTGCCATCAACAGAACCTTTACCTTTCAAAGTGTTTCTCGGTTATATGGATTTCCCCACTGAGGCAAATCATATAGCGATGACACAAATGCCTAAGGAGGGAAACACAAAAGGTAATAAATGTCTTTGCTTATGGTACAGGATTCAAAACAGATTTTCAATGCATTACTTGAGTATTTGTGTGTTTGAAACAGAGGAGAGATACACGTGGCTACTCAGCCCCGGGAGTTTAAAAGGAAACACTGGAAAGCACTATGTTGTGGTGAGGCCCATAGTTGGTCCTGGCATTAAATCCATTAATGCCAGCTTATCGATTACCCCAATCACCGCCTCGTGTAAATACTGGAATGAATCACTGTCCGAGTGGTACGAGAACGGATGCCGAGTGAGTACAGGAACTCAATCTACCTGTCATGCAGAACACGTCGTCTAAACTCTAATGAAAATAAAGATTGTTTTCTTTCCAGGTTGGAGCAAACACCACACATTTGGCGACCCAGTGCCTCTGCAACCACCTCACCTTCTTTGGCAGCTCTTTCTTTGTCACTCCCAACCTCGTCGATCCGTCACGCACTGCTGAGCTTTTTGCAACCTTTGCAGAGAACCCAGTGGTTGTGTGCTTTGTGGGGGCACTCTTTGTGACTTACCTTTTGGCGGTTGTTTGGGCACGGCGAAAAGACATCCAAGACACTGTCAAGGTACGGCATCTCTCCAGCAGCAGGAACAGTAGTGACATTAGGTGTCTTAAGAGAAAGTATTGGGGAACTGCAACTTTACACATATGTTTAAAAGTCTACTGCATAGGTGTAGTAGAAAGCAATAATAGGCCTTTGTGACTAATTTCTCATCTACATTAACACGCCTGTATCTGTCTGTATATTCTTTACTTTTGCCATTATTAATAACGTTAAGTTTTATAAAGGAAGATTTTTTTTTGTCTTAGATGTCCATCTCTTCAAGATTTCCCAGCAGCTTTTTTTTTTTTTTTTAAACAAATTTTCCCTGGAACAAAAGTGCCTCTATTGCATTGTTAACAGGTGAAGGTGACAGTGCTGGAGGACAACGACCCCATGGACGAGTACCGTTACCTTCTGAGTGTCTGCACTGGGCATCGTATTGGAGCTTCCACTTCCTCTCAGGTGAATATGTTCAGTCAGAGTTGCATGAAATAAATGGCTAGATTTGGCATAATAGCCTAAAAACATAACATCTTACAGATAATTCTGGGAGAGCTTGTAACTCCTCAATATGCATAAAATGAATACAAATATCAGAAAAATCAATATAAACATACATGAGTAGGTGGTCAATGTGATGGAACTGTTGCATTCAAATGGCACTGGCATGAGTGAATCAGCAGATAACAGTAATAGAACTGCTTATGATGTTCATGCTGAGCAACTGCATCAGTATGAAATGATGTTACTGGACACACACAGCTGCGAATAAGCCAGCTAATATCAAACAGATCAAACCAACAACACAGAAATCAATGCCATCAGTTTAGTCATAGAAACAATTAGTTTTCAGTCATTTAATTCACCCAATTATGACAGAATAACAAATAAATTCTGTTGTTGGTAAAAAATAAATAAATAAACGTGCAACACTCTTTTCATATCTGCATTTTCACCTGGAGGGTCATGGTTGCTACCGTGGCCCTGGATGCTGGCCTCAACAACACATGCTGATGGTCCCTGTCTGCATTCAGGCTGACCCTGGCCCTCTGTGGACTCTGAGCTATCATGCTGTCAGTCTGACCTGCAGTGTCCCTGCTCTCAGTGTTCTGACCTGCTACTGACTTCTTTTTAATAAATTTTTTAAAAATGTCTCCTCTCCCTTTCATTCTCTGTGAAACATATTTATTTATGCAGCTCCTTCTTGTCTTTTCTTGGACATCAACCGACGTTCGCAAGTGTCCTCTCAATCCAAACTAAATGCAAGTACCCAATCAAAAAGCACCTTACGTCTTTGGTGCATTCAGTGGCAGTTGGACAACAACGCTGCGTTCAAGAGCGTCGTAATTTGGAGGTTCTGTATTGGTAATATCAATTTCAAACAAATTTTTTTTGGGGGGGGGCACATGGGGTGGCCAATCAGATCACAGGGGAGAGCCAGTGCCCCCCCCTGTGCCCCCACAGTAGATCCGCCCCTGCCTCCACCTACATCCCTCTTATACATGAAGGTAATGTAGGTGTCAATATGTTGCATTTTGAACTGTTTCAGGTAGCGGTGACTCTGCTGGGTGCAGAGGGAAACAGTGAGCCCCACCATCTGATAGATTCAAACAAACCTGTGTTTGAAAGAGGTGCGATGGATATGTTCCTGATAACTACACCCTTCTCCCTTGGCGACCTGCAGGGCATCAGACTGTGGCACAACAACTCAGGGAGCCATCCTTCCTGGTAGGAAAACACAAATATCAGAGCCACTCAAAAAAACAAAAAGCAAAAATACAGCTTTGGAACATCGTTTGAAAGTTGTCATTTTAGGGCAACTTTCTGGACTGTCAGCTACAGTGTTAATATAAGCTTTGGCACTTGTTGACAGGAATAAAGGTCTATAAGGATTTCACACGATCTGGGTTTTCTTAGGTATGTAGGCAATGTGATGGTGCAGGATTTCCAGACGGAACAGAAATGGTATTTTCTTTGCAACTCCTGGCTGGCGATCGACACCGAGGACTGTTGTCTGGATAAAGTTGTTCGTGCTTCAACAGAGGAGGATCTAAAGAGGTTCAGGTAGAGTAGAGGCATGGAGGCGATTTGGCTGGCAAAATTACACACACCGACACACTGAAGTCTAAAGGCTGAATGTCAAACCCAGATTCCGATTTTTTTAAATTTGGATTTGAATAATGAGAACAACAGTCAGATGCAAATGAGACATACGCACATGGACAAAATTGTTGGTATCAGTAATGAAAGAAAAACCCACAATAGTCACAGAAATAACTTGAATATGACAAAAGTAATAAATAAAAATTCTATGAAAATTAGCCAATGAAAATCAGACATTGCTTTTGAACTGTGGTTTAACAGAATTATTAAAAAAAAAAAAAAAAAAAACTCATAAAACAGGCCTGGACAAAAACGATGGTACCCTTAACTTAATATTTTGTTGCACAACCTTTTGAGGCAATCACTCCAATCAAACAATTTCTGTAACTGTCAGTGAGACTTGTGCACCTCTCAGCAGGTATTTTGGCCCACTCTTCATGAGCAGGCTGCTCCAGTTGTCTCAGGTTTGAAGGGTGCCTTCTCCAGACGCCATGTTTCAGCTCCTTCCACAGATGTTCAATAGGATTTAGATCAGGGCACATAGAAGGCCTCTTCAGAATAGTCCAATGTTTTCCTCTTAGCCACTGTTGGGTGATTTTCGCTGTGTGTTTTGGGTCATTATCCTGTTGCAAGACCCATGACACTTTCTGACACTGGGCAGCACATTTCTCTCTAGAATACCTTGATAGTCTTGAGATTTCATTGTACCCTGCACAGAGTCAAGACACCCTGTGCCAGATGCAGCAAAGCAGCCCCAGAACATAACAGAGCCTCCTCCATGTTTCCCAGTAGGGACAGTGTTCTTTTCTTGATATGCTTCATTTTTGCATCTGTGAACATAGAGCTGATGTGCCTTGCCAAAAAGTTCCAGTTTTGTCTCGTCTGCCCATAGGACATTCTCCCAGAAGCTTTGTGGCTTGTCAACATTCAGTTTGACAAGTTCCAGTCTGGCTTTTATGATTTGTTTTCAACAATGGTGTCCTCCTTGGTCATCTCCCATGAAGTCCACTTTGGCTCAAACAACGACGGCTGTACCTTGACCTTGGAGTTCAACTTTAATGTCTTTAGAAGTTGTTCTTGGCTCTTTTGTTACCATTCGTATTATCTGTCTCGTCGATCTGTCATCAATTTTCCTCCTGCAGCCACGTCCAGGGAGATTGGCTACAGTGAATCTCAAATATCTGAATAATATGTGCAACTGTAGTCACAGGAACATCAAGCTGCTTGGAGATGGTCTTATAGCCTTTACCTTTAACATGCTTGTCTATAATTTTCTTTCTCATCTCCTGAGACAACTCTCTCCTTCACTTCCTCTGGTCCATGTTTAGTGTGGTACACACCATGTCACCAAACAGCACAGTGACTACTTGTAACCCTATAAATAGGCCAACTGACTAATTACAAGTTTGTAGACATCTGTGAAGCTAATTAGAGGACACACCTTGATTGAACATGTTCCTATGGTCACATTATTTTCAGTCTTTTCTAGGGATACCACCATTTTTGTCCAGGCCTGTTTCATTTCATCAATTCTGTTGAACCACGATTCAAAAGCAATTTCTGATTTTCATTGCCTAATTTTCATAGAACTTTATTTATTATTACTTTTGTCAGATTCAAGTTATTTCTGTGACCGTTGTGGGTTTTTCTTTCATTAACCGAGGGGTACCAACAATTTTGTCCACGTGTGTAATAGCTGGTTTTGGATTTCAGTTTGATTAATTTCAGATTTGCTGCAAAATGTAAAGTAAGCTTGATTTCTACCCAGCAGGCAGGAAGTAGTTCTAAAATGACCCCCACTGGCAGGTGTATGAGGCTATCAGCATTTTTAAAACATCTAAACACATATGCATCTGATTGACGAATAAAGCACATACACAGTCAAATGGTGACAAGGGAAAGTTGCAATATGAAAGATTTGCATTTAGAGAAGTCTGATAAATCACTATGTATCACCAAATGAGGAAACGATGGTGATTGAGCTTTTAACGCACTGAAGTTATATCAAAGTCCTTGTATGTGCAGTTTTACAAACTAGGCGTCTGTGGCGACAAGCCAATGCAAAATCACAACAGTGCAAACTTAGTGATGTGTGTTCCATCACCCAAGTTTTTCCTCATCTCAAAAGACTTTTTCATGATGAGAAATGATATAGCATTTATAGAGCACTTAATTTTGTGTTTTTTCTTTTAAGATCAACACACAATACAAGAGAACAGAAGATAGCAGCCTGCTTCCAAAATAATACAAGGTTAGGTTTGCCCCTGTTCTACAGTGGTTGGTAATGAGACTGTTTTATTTTCTGACCTTTACATTAAAATGAGAGAAGTTTATGATATTGCACTGCCATGTTTTAAGTGATATTAGCAAGGATAGCGTGCAATAACAGGGTAATTTTGCCTTTGCCATTAAGATGTAGAAAAATAGAAATGCACTGCAAAACAACATACCGTCAGTGTTTCAGACATGCCACCAAAATTTTCCATCCAACCATCTAAATAAGCCAACAGGTGACAGACCCCAACCTTACATGTAATCACATCAAAACAAATTTTAAGAGGTACAATGGGAGGGGGAGGCGTGCTTATTTTATAACACTTTATGTTGCTGGAGTACCTAAAAGAGAAGCAACCATAATATGTGTGAAACAAACTTATTTGTGACTAATAATTGAAAGCAATAAATAACCACAAGGCAACTCCAGAATAAAAGCGAACTTGAAAGTAGTAAAAACAGGTAAGCAGGGTACCACAGGGAGATACTGTCGCGTACCTCAATTGCTATCACCACATGAGCATACTGCGACAACTGAGATTTCAGTTTACACTGCAAACTACACTGCAGTGAGGAGTAAATATAAAACACACTCAAGTGGCCACCACCATTAGGCCTGCCACACTGCATGCAAGGAGGTGAATCCCTTGAAATACTCCCTGCGGCTTGAGCTACAGTCTATAAAACAAACAGTTCGTTCAGTTCACTGACACAACTATGGAGGGGGCTGACTCGACACAGTTGAATTTAGCTTGGTACCAGTGAGCCAAGCCAGGCATTGTAGACAAGGCAAAACAGCAATCTAGCATTTAATCTTTCTCTGTCAGAGGTTCTAAGGAGGGACCCATACAGACAGTTGGTTGGCTATCGAGCCATGCAGGAAGACACAAGCTCATCAACAGAAAGCTACAGGGCATAAATCATCACCAGGACACAGCTCCACTACATCTGCACAACAAACAGTTCTACCATACCTCAACCAGGATCCAGACAAAGAGGCCCTGATTGCTGCCACCTGGCTTTTTATAGGGAGGAACCCACAGAGGGCAGCGTCCCCACTCTGCCATCCCTCACATACAGCTAAGAAAGCTACAGTGTAAAGTTTTGTTTGGTTTTGGTTTTTTCCCCCCAGATTTTATATTTGACTGCGAACCAATTAAGAGTTTAAGTCAACAGGATTAAAAAAAAAAAAAAAAAAAGACTGAAAGCACAATTAAAAACTGTCATTTTTCTCCTCTCTCAGTTGAGTCCCTGAATATTCATCCTACACACTGAGCTGGTGATTTACTGAGGATTCATGTCTTTTTCTTTTAGTCCTAAAATGCTAAATAGCTACGGATCTATACCAAGGTTTCCCTGCAGCAGAAAAGAGATTAAAATAAGATGCTAATCTATCACTAACTGGCAGTTTATAAAGGTTTAAAATGTATGTATTTCACAGTTTTGCTTTTGCCTTCCAGTAATTTGTTCTTCATGAAGACAACAAAGGATTTCAGTGACGGACACCTCTGGTTCTCTGTGGTCAATCGACCAGCAAGCAGCACCTTCACTTGCGTACAGAGAGTATCCTGCTGCTTCTCCTTGCTGCTCTGCACCATGCTGACCAGCATCATGTTTTATGGGATCCCTACAGACCCATCTGAGCAGACTATGGACCTTGGTACGCCACATTTTTCATTACAGTTCAAATTTCTCTTAGAAAAAAAGGCCCCTTATCTCATTCCTGTCACTTTTTCTGTGTTCAGGTCACTTTGAGTTTACCTGGCAGCAGTTCATGATTGGAGTTCAGAGTTCCCTCATTATGTTTCCAGTGAACATCCTTATAGTCAGTATCTTCAGAAACACTTGTCCTCGGGAGACGTCCTGTTGCCTGCGCAAAACAAAGAAGCCAAAAGCCCTTGAGAAGGACAACACTTTGTTGACTGTTTCCTCACAGACTGCTACCAACACTATGAATGCCAATGCCACTTTAGACACCATCATTAAGGTCCGTGCTGGAGGGTGTGTGCTTGATGCCTACCCACACATTTTGCACTGAATATTAAAGGGCTACTGAACTAAATCATGTTATTTTACTGTCATTCATTATATACAGTTTCATATTTGTATTCAGAAGAACACTTTTCTTTCCTAGAATATCACAAGAACTACGCATACACTCTCTAAGAACATAAAAAGCAACATCCTATGCACGGAGTCCGACTTTGGGCCTGGAAAACAGACTGATATCAATGGTATCCTTTCCGTGGTGGAAGACTTCATCAAACAGAACAACAAAAGCAGTGACAACGTCACAGCAAAAGCGCAGCCTCAACTACCAGGTGTGTTGTGCTCTGGATAGTGGATACAGTTCACCTGACTTGGGAACAGTGGTCTCATTGTACAGCTCAGACGGGAGTAATAGAAAGTTGAGGGTCTATTCCTTTCTCTGCTTCACTCTAATGAGCATGATGGCGTTTTTTTAAAAGAAAGAAAAAAGCTAATACTTGATGCAGAAGTTTTCCTTGTCGCATATAGTTTGATATGATTTTCTGAGGCACAATGCAAAGTTTTAGTCAGGAGCTAGTTTATAAAAGTTTGCTAGAAACAGGCAATTGGACATGGATACACCCAGAGTATTATTAATTGATGCATCTGTGCATTTCCACAAATACACCCACTGTAGCTGTTGCTACTCAGTCTATAGCTGACTCAGAAGCTACATCTGCTGTTTGGGACAAATAAAACAGACTGCATAATGGTCCCAACTGTCAAAAATCCATGTAAAATATACAACCTGAATATCTACTTTGCTTTCCATCTGAACGCTCCTCAGCATGTGACTCAATTCTTTAAAACTGCCATTAATCACTTGTTTACAGAGAACTTATGTACATTTTCAGAAAGCAGCGCCTCTGTGCACCCTGCGCCAACGGAGGAGTGGATTCAGAAGAAGAGCAACAAAAGCCAGTATCTGTACAGGCAACTGTGTCACATTGACAAGGAGCTGAGTCTGCTGGGTCCCTCCAGCTTTCCCACTCCCAACAGCTACAGCCGGGCGCTGCAGCAGGTCCAGGGCATGAAGGGGTTCCTCGAAGAGCAGCTTTTCACATCCAACTCTGTTGTCCAGGATGACCTTAGCAACAAAAAGTACCAAAGTCTCTCAATAAAAAGCACCACACTGTTGGATCTGCATGGCTTATCAACAAATTGTCTATATTTAACGAGTATGCCAGGGCACCAAGTCATATGATAGTATTGCAAAGTGAAAAATGCTTTGATTGTATGTTCCTTTATTATCTTTTTGGGTATCTATTTTTCATGTTTTTGGTTAAAACTTCAGGAAAGTGCTCTCTTAAAAGATAAGAGCACAGTTCCTGATAGTTTTGTGACTTACAGTTAACAGTTTAAAAGATGGTCCTTGTAATCAACATTATTGTAACTTTGAAAGGAGTTTTCAAACTGAATAGAGTATCACATAAGTTTCAAGTCACTGCAATTTAGTTTTTTCAGAGGGCCGAAATGACTGACATCCAGTAGCTGATTGGGCCGTAGATTTGGAAAGTGACTGTCAGTAATTTAGAAGAATATTTTTGTGTTTGGAGGAAAAAGGCATACAGTATTTCACTCTTGCAGAGAGTTAGATAAGAAGATTTAAAAAAACTCAGATTTTTTTATGTTAAATATTAGGCTACGGTCAAGGATTGATTAACATAAAGACTAGAAGCAAGGGAAAGCAATTTGTCTGTCAAAAGTTTTAAAGATTTGCCTGCCAGCACCTCTGAGTTTTCCTAGGTTAGATGTTACAGTTTCTTTTTTTTAACCTCCACACAGACAAATCTTTCGGTTATAAGTGGTGCTTTAACTATCTCTCGACTTGGAAACATCCAAGTTACAGATTCTTGCACCTGGCAGCTGTTTACCAAGAAATAATTAGGAAAAGTAAGCCTTTGTTAGACCTCAATGAGTCCTTTTACAGTTCACAAAAAAGAGACTGAACAAACATAGTAAAAATAGATACATATCTATAATTTAGAGGTGATGAATGGTGAATTTGACAAACTTTGGACTGATCCAGGAAAACTGTTTGTCCATTTTCAGTCTTTACATTAAGCAAATCCAGACTGCATCTTCGTATTAAAAAAAAAAAGGGACAGATATTGATTTAAAGAAGCAATGATCCACCAAAATGTTGAATAATTTGGTGATGATGGGCTAAAATTTGCACTTACTATTGGACATCACTTACTAAAGTTCCATTTAAATGTCATTTAAATTCATAATGCTCAAGCAAATTGCTGAAGATGTCCTTCAAAACAAATGTGTATTTAAGTGGAAATGTGTTCTTTCTTTCCTCACTTTCAGGGTCAGTCCAGCAGACAGCTCTGATGATGACAGCAGACATAAAAAAAGGCTTTGCTGTCATGGAATGCTGCCCTGGTGGTTTATTTTTGTCGGCTGGCTGCTTGTGATTGCCACCAGTGTTGTGTCGGGATATTTTACGATGCTTTACGGGTTGAATTTTGGGAAAGAACGCTCCATTAGCTGGTTGGTTTCCATGATTGTCTCGTTTTTTCAGAGTCTCCTCCTCATTCAGCCACTGAAGGTGAGACAACGTCCATTTGATTTTAATTTAAATAACCTTAATATTGAATGTCCTAAATGTTTAAATTCACTTCTGTTTATGCCTCTTACCACAGGTGCTGTGTATGGCAGTCTTCTTCGCACTTATAAAAAAAGTCGACGAGGAAGATTTTCAAAATGTGGCATTTGTGGGAAATGACAGAAATCCAGGTAAAAGAATAAGTACTCCCCAAATATAATCTCTGTCTTCCTCAAATAAGATAATGTTCAAACAAAAAAATAACTTCACCCACAGGTGACTGCAAGGACCAACAGATAATCAGACGGGATGCTGGCCTATATGCACCACCTCCTCCTGCAGATGTTGAGAAGATGAGAAGGAACAGGATTTTAGAACAGAAAGCCTTTGCTCTCCTCAGGGAGATTCTGAGTAAGTAGATGGTCTTTTTTTATTGTCAGAGACAGACAACCAAGCACACTCACATTCACACCTATGGAGAATTTAGAATCCCCAATTTACCTCAACATGTTTTGGACTGTGGGAGGAAACTGGAGAACCCAGAGAGAACCCACGCTGCACAGGGAGAACATGCAAACTCCATGCAGAAAGATCTCGGTGTTCTCACCGGGATGCGAACCAGCGACCTTCTTGCTGCGAATCAACGGTGCTAACCACCGCTGCACCTTGCAGCCCATATGATGCACAAATGTTGTTGTGATGTTTTCAGCAGGAAGTTTTCTTTGAGTTCCCAGAATGTTCTGGAATAATGTTCTCTAGAAACTTTTTAAAATGTTTTGTAATAACCCTCTTAAAATGTTAAATGACAACCTTGCTAGAATATGATGCATTAATGTTGCTGTGAAAAGGAACTTCGTTGCGGGCGGTTTGTGAATATCACAGGGGTTTTAGAGAACACGAAGCACTTCAACAACGCACATTTGCACTTTGATGAAACTTCTGCACTTAAAACAAGCACTTTATTAACCATTTTGCACATAAAAACAAGCAGACATTCGCACACAGTTCATAATTGATGGTAATTATTAATTGAATGCGTGGTTCGCCTTTGTGGTTCACCACCCGCGGACACTCGCGGGTGATTGACGGCCACCTGTAAAGCAGAGCGCCAGTGTTATCATTACATACGTGGGATTGATCAGTCTCGATAACAGAGGTGTGTGTTGTTAGGAGAAGACTGTCTTTTCTCCGCTGGATGCACACAAATATACATTGGAGCCTGGCCATCCTCCGCTGGATTCACAGGCTACAACAGAGCACAAGTCAAACAGAAAAGAGGCATTCTCTCCCCTTATACACTGCCTGGCCAAAAAAAAAGTCGCCACCAAAAAAAAAAGGTCATACACTCTAATACTTTGTTGGACCGCCTTTAGCTTTGATTACGGCACGCATTCGCTGTGGCATTGTTTCGATAAGCTTCTGCAATGTCAAAAGATTTATTTCCATCCAGTGTTGCATTAATTTTTCACCAAGATCTTGCATTGATGATGGTAGAGTCTGACCACTCCGCAAAGCCCTCTCTAGCACATCCCAAAGATTCTCAATGGGGTTGAGGTCTGGACTCTGTGGTGACCAATCCATGTGTGAAAATGATGTGTCATGCTCCCTGAACCAGTCTTTCACAACTTGAGCCCGATGAATCCTGGCATTGTCATCTTGGAATATGCCTGTGCCATCAGGGAAGAAAAAGTCCATTGATGAAATAACCTGGTCATTCAGTATATTCAGGTAGTCAGTTGACCTCATTCTTTGAGCACATACAGTTGCTGAACCTAGACCTTACCAACTGCAGCAACCCCAGATCATAACACTGCCCTCACAGGCTTGTACAGTAGGCACTAGGCATGATGGGTGCATCACTTCACCTGCCTCTCTTCTTACCCTGATTCGCCCATCACTCTGGAACAGGGTAAATCTGGACTCATCAGACCACATGACCTTCTTCCATTGCTCCACAGTCCAATCTTTATGCTCCCTAGAAAATTGAAGCCTTTCTTTCCGGTTAGCCTCACTGTTTAGTGGTTTTCTTAAGGCTACACAGCTGTTCAGTCCCAATCCCTTGAGTTCCCTTCGCATTGTGCGTGTGGAAATGTTCTTACTTTCATAACTAACTAACATAGCCCTGATGTCTACTGTTGTTTTTCTTCGATTTGATCTCACCACACGTTTAAGTGATCGCCGATCACGATCATTCAGGATTTTTTTCCGGCCACATTTCTTCCTTGAAGATGATGGGTCCCCACTATCCTTCCAGTTTTTAATAATGCGTTGGACAGTTCTTAACCCAATTTTAGTAGTTTCTGCAATCTCTTTAGATGTTTTCTCTGCTTGATGCATACCAATGATTTGACCCTTCTCAAACAGACTAACATCTTTTCCACGACCACGGGATGTGTCTTTCAACATGGTTGTTTAGGAAATGAGAAGCACGTCATTGCACCAGTTGGGGTTAAATAACTTGTTGCCAGCTGAAAGATAATCGCCCATGCAGTAATTATCCAATAGGAGGCTCGTACCTATTTGCTTAGTTAAATCCAGGTGGCGACTTTTTTTTTGGCCAGGCAGTGTATAATCAACCGCCACCCCTCCAAGCTTCCTCATATACTGATCGGGGTTTTAATTATATTGCCTGGGATTTCTGGTTACAACATGTTCCTGTGGAAAGATGACAGTGCTTAATATGAGCACCAGTACTCCCACTATTGTGCAGACTGCTAGAACAGTCCACGAGCCCCACAGCTTAGGTGGGCTCATTCTGAGTTTGTTTTCATGTCTTTGGTCTCTCTGGAGCAGGAGCTGGTGCACACAGTGTCCAGTGATACCAAGTGTCACCTTTACCCCGGTGTCTCACAGCGTGAGAAGTCCGCTCCGTGATCTTAAAGGGTCCTGTCAACCTGGGTTCGGACCACTTCCGTTTAATGGCCTTCAGATACACCCATTGGCATGTCGGAGGAGTAGCTGGTTCTGCAGGTTCAGTGTCAGGGGCCACCTGTTTGGAGAAACTAGAGACAAGCAACTTGAGTTGATCATGAAACAGTTTATACCCCATGAATGGTTCTGTTTGCCCTAACACTGATGCCCCGGGCCCGGGAAACTGCCTGCCTGTCATAAGTTCATACGGGGTAAACTGAGTCACACTGTTCACCGTGCTTCGTATGGCCATTAGTGCCACTGGAAGTGCATCCACCCACGTCATACCTGTTTGTCGACAAATCTTTCCCAACTTAGTTTTCACATTCTGATTCATCCGCTCAACTTTTCCTTGTGACTGGGGGTGATACACTGTACCAAACGCATGTCTTAGTCCCAGGATTTTCTCCACATGTTGTAAGTCTTTGTTCTTAAAATGTGTCCCATTATCTGTTCTTTTTTTCTTTGGACACTTAGGTCCTTCGGACCTCCCTCTCCCAGGGCGCAGTCCCAGGCAAAAACACTGATCACAGAAGCACTACTAGCCTCCTAACTCATTCGGTTTCGGCTTGTAGTGGCCTGACTGTACATTGAGCCGAGCGCAGCTGCCATCATCATGCCCGACCGGCCAGTGACCCAGTTGATAGTGATCCCCAGTTCACAGAACAGGACCCCGTAATGTTTATTAGCCACCCGGTTGGGAACCGACAGTCTAATCCCTACCCCACTTCGCGATAGGAACTTTGACCGTTTTCACCAGCCTTGCCTGTTCACAGAGGTCGCCTCTTGCGCACCTCTGCTAGGTGTGGGCTGTCACCCACGTACCACGCCTGGCCTACACACCTACATGCGACCAGTGCGCCAACTAGACAATACCTCGGCAGTATGTTCATTCATACTTCATCAGACACGGGGGCCTTCAGTCCTCTCCCCAGCACTATACCACATCTTTAACGTGCCCTCAGAACTTTGCAGTTCCGCCACCGTCTTTTAGGGTCTAGGTTCGGGGTGCCTAATCTCCTTCCCTAAACCCGTGTCGTGGTATATAATGTTGCACCAGGAACTTTATCACTGTGGCTGCATCCTCTCTTCCGGCTGCCACAAATTTAGGCCATCCTGTATAACTGTCTACTGCCACTAGGAGGTATCTTAGCCCTCTTACAGGCATTATCATGTCTGTATAATCTAATACTATTTCCTGTCCTGGCAGCTGTGGCAATGGGAACTGTCCCTGATGCGGTTTCACTGCTGGCTTAGGGTTCATGCTTCAACACACACTAGAGCCTTCCATGAATGATCTGACTATGTCTTCCATGAATGGATGCCACCAATAAGCTAGCTTTCTTAACATTGCTCTCCCTCCGATGTGAGCCAAACCATGGGCCTCTTCCAACACACTCTTCCTTAGTGATTGAGGGAGAACTGGTCTACCATCTGGAGCCCTCCAAAGACCATCTATCTGTACTGCTCCTCTAGTCTCCCACACATGTTTCTCTGATTCATCAGTTAGTTGCTGTTCCTGCTTCAGACTTTCTACAGATAGCTCTGGTAATAGATCTGTTAGTTCCTGCTCTGCTAATAGCATCATGAACTGTGGCTGATACCCAGTCACCCTCTTTGCTGCTGCATCCGCACATTCATTTCCCTGGGCTATCCAACCTCCTTCTCTGCTATGTCCCTTGCATTTTACCACTGCCACTTTCATTGGTAACAACAAGGCTGCGGCTAGCTCCTTCATTTCCTTTTCATGTTTAATCGGTGTCCCTGTTGTAGTGACAAACCCTGCATTCTTCCACTGTGGCAAGTCCACATGTACCGCTCCTACCACATAGGCTGAGTCTGTGTAAATAGTGACCGCTTTCCGTTGAGCTGCTTTCAAAGCTTCCACTGCTGCCACTACTTCTGCTTTCTGTGCCGATGGCTCCTCTGTGACCATGCCTGTTTTCACTTCCTCAAATCCTTCCTCTGTTTTTCTTACTTCTGCAAACCCTGCATGTAGCTGCCCCAGCTGGTCTCTATAGCAACACCCATCCGTGAACCAGACTTCACCTTCCTCTAGTGCTTCTGCTTTTAGATCTGCTCTAATCTTGTGCTCTACTCGTACTCTGGCTGCACACTCACGTGGTTCTCCTATTGTCATTTGTTCTGCCATGTTGATCCCTTCATGGCTGTAGACAATATTCGGTTGGGTGAGAATTTTATCAATTCTTGTTTGTCTCAGTGATGACATCGTGAATGCAGCTGAATTCACATATGCCATCACTCCGTGTGTTGTCAGAACTCTGATTTCATGTCCCATCACTATGTGTGCTGTTTTCTGCAGAATTTTTGCAAGCCCTGCCGCATGCCGGGTGCACAATGGGTGTCTTCGCTCTGTTGCATCCAAAAGAATGCTTATATACATCAATACCTTACGTCCTCCCCCTTGTTTCTGGAACAGGACACCGTTTACCGTGTGGCCTGATTCAGAAACATCTAGAAAAAAAAGGGTAAGGAGTAAT